CGCCGAGTCCCTCTCTAAAATTCAATATAAATACTTAAAATAAGATACCTGGGAATCCGGATGTTACAATATGTAATTGTATTTGTAAGCTAGTTAGAGTGTGTTAGGGAGTTCCTTCTATAACTGATAGTGGGGAAATAGTGTGGTGGTTGCCCTAGAAGGATCTAGGAAGAATGTTAGTGCAGCGAAGATGCTGGTAGTCAGTAAGCTTAAGAAGCCTTCTTGATCAGTCTATGGATTGGAGTGTTACTGCACGAATGTTGCTTGCTTTTTGCTTTGTAGAACTCTTAAGTGATGTGATTTAATTGTTAAGTAAATATGTTACGTCACATGTGACGAAGGTTGAATAATCTTAGAGTGATGGGTTTGACCCTATTGCGCAACTCTTGTCTGAGTCCAACCGTTGTAGGGATGAGCCTTTTACTCGAAGGATTATCTAAGCTTTGTTGCATGTGATTGTATTCATGAGGTGGTTAACTGACATTATGGGGAGTTCTTCAGCAACTGATGGCAGAGTGAGGTCGAAAACCTAGGAGAGCCTAGGAAGTGCTTCAGTGAGTTTAGTTGCGCTGTTTAGAGAGTACTTAGAGTACCAGTTTGAGAAGGTGACCTGGATGATTCGGGATGATTCTTGAGGAAAGTATGGATATGTATGAAATGTAGTATTGGGTCTGTACTACTGAAACAAGCCTTAAATAGGAAAATATTTTACAAACGACAAATTAGACTAACTATTGTTAGCCATACTAGACATTATTACAGTCATTATTCTTTTCATGAACTAACTATTGTTAGCCATACTAGACATTATTACAGTCATTATTGCTTTTATACTAGACTAACTATAGTTAGGGTTTTTTAATAATATTATAATCTCTTGATCATTTTTATTTTTAAATGATCTACATGGTTTTCATTACATACTTCTAATTGTTTTTCAGCAATTTCTTTTACTAATGTTAGTAATATTCGTAATTGAAAATCAACCTCTTGTTTATTATTTTTATAAAATCATAATGTTTGATAATAGCAGTTTTTATAACACCTTTTATGGGGTGGTTAAGACTTATGTGATCGTTTGTTTGTATAAATGGTTGATATAATTGAAGGAAATTATTTCCTATTACTAAATCTATTCCTGAACCATGTTAACATATATTGTTGGAGTTTTAAATGGTGTTTTTTTTCAGTTATTATGAACCATTTGAAGAATTCACCAAGCATCTTGCAGAATTACCAAGAGAAATAAAAAAGCAGTTATGTCAAATAATACTCAATGCACCAAGACATCGTTGTCAATACTGTAAAGAAAATCTAGAAGAAGCACCACTAATGGAACAATGACTCGTTTGATAACGTGTGATATCCGGTGACATCCGGGGGAAGAGATAAGAGCAAGCCGCTACAATCCGTCTATTACAATCCGTTAAAAATGTAATAATTATTGTGACGTATTTCTTTTTATTTTTATTTTTTTTGTATTTTTCCTTTATTTTATTTTAAGTAGTTTTGGACTATTTCTTATTGGATTATATTTTAAGTAAATTGGACATTTGGACTACTGGAATATAAAATATAGCTATTTTTTTTCCAAAACATTAAGATAGATCCTTTAAAAAATTTAAGATAGGTCATAAATTATTATTTTTTATAACTTCTACTAAAAAATTCATTTTAAGTGGGTCAAATGACCTAAATTGTGTAGGTATAAACTCACTGTCAGCTACATTTTGATAAACATCTTCCCAAATCCAAGTTCAAATAGATCTACTAAAAGTTACTGAAAACCAATTGTTAATATAAAAATTAAAAAAAAAAAGTAACCATTATGCATTTTCTTGTCCACAACACATTATTGTAAAGACTCTGAATGATATGTACTCTAGAATCGGTTTTGTTGAATTAGTAGCAATTGAGTTATTGTAGTTTTCATGTTTCTGATAGCTATATCTTTTTTTTTACCAAAGATACATCGAGAATAACTGTTTAGTATATATCTTCATTGAAAGCAAGTGAATGAATGTTTCACTTTAGGTTCATGAGTTTAAGCACCAAAAATAAATAGGATAAGCTTATATGTTTCTTTGTTGAATTTGAATTTGTAGGTTGAAATGTTTGATTTGGAGACATGTTTTTGTCGATTTGAAAATATTTATGTTTTATTTGTATTTTGTGTTTAATTTGGATTTTGTATGGTGTTTATATTTTTTTGTAATTATTCAAGAAGTTGGTTCAGCAAAAAATAATATAGAAAGGTATAATGGTCATTTTTATCATTCATCACAGTAATTCAGACCCTCTTAGAAATTTAGACCTCTTAAAAATTCAAATCTTAAAAATTCAAATCCTACCAAACAGCCTCATAGTTTGATAAAGTAAATTTCAATTTGAGATATAGTTGGAATGCATAAAATACGGAACCGATTTCTATAATTGTTATATGTAGTTACAAAAAAAAACGAATGAATTAAAGATTTCAAATGACAAATAGAGGAAGTGAGCATGTTGACCAAGATCTCAACAATGATCATTTGTAATATGCATAAACGTTCTTTTATTATATACAAGAACAATTTGTTACTAATAAAAGTAAGTGTTCTTCTTGTGTGTAGAAGTGCCTGTATCTTTGCATAACATTGACCGGACTTCAATGATGGATCTTGGTGGTTCAATGTCTTTCTCTTCAAGTGCATTGCCAAGTAGTTTTTGCATTTGTGATGCAAACGTATCATCCAAAATCTATAATAATAAAAAAAAAAATACATATAACGTATCTATATAATTAATAATAATTAAAAAGAAGAATAAAAATCTACTTACAGATACAGCAACTCTTGAGCCTTTGTACAATGATCTGTTTTCTTTCCTGTTCTCAAGGAAACTCAAAACATCCTGCAGCAACATCAACACAGTTACACAAGACGTTATCGGACAAAATTTCTAGAGCTTTTTATCAATGATAATCATGAAAAGGGCATTTATGTCTTTTGGACAGACGAGAGATCTTGAGAAAAGCCCTATCCCATCTTTTTTTGGTGGGCCAAAAAAGTTGCAGTCTTTGTCCCATCTTGCAACTTTTTTGGTGGGACAAAAAAGTTACAATTTTTGTCCCATCTCGTTGCACCTTTTTAGCTGGGACTAAAAAGGTGCAATTTTTTTGTCCCCTCTTGTTGCGCCTTTTGGGCGAGACAAAAAAAATTCCAGTATCAAAGTGGGGCCCGGCTAGGAGATTTTAAGAATAGTAAATGCGAGGTTACCTGTCCCATGCGGTCCCAATATCCACGACAAATGGCAATGAAAACATGAGACTGAAAGATAGAATGGAGATGATTCACGGTGTTTGTAAGTTGCTCTGTTAGCGGTTGCATTCTGCTTCGGATCTCGGATTCTGCCAAACTTTCTTTTGAATCTTGGAGAATTTTCTTTAGTTTTGTACTATTTTGCAGCCTTGTCTGCATCATATAAAAATGATTAAAAAAAATCCGATAATAATAACTATTGTTCTTACAAAATGCATAAAAGTAATGATTAGACACTGACATTCTCAACAAGTTTCTCAACAACTGCTTGAAGATAGTTTCGGAATTTGGATCTAAGCATGACTGTGACTTCACTTAAACGCTCTCCGGGTGCTGTATTTCCCTCATTGGGAATACAACACGAACCCCATGACTTTAATTGAACTTCAATCTTAGGACGCAAAACATCCAACATTCTCTTCATTGAGTTTAAGAATATGCCAAGCTAAAAATCACGAAATCAACCCAAACATTATTAGATTTTTTTTTTTTTTTTTTAAAAAAAAAAACATCTCCACAATAAGATATACATTTAGACTAGAAAAATGCACGGATTGGACTGGGACTGTAACTGATGTCAATGGGATAAGAGTTGCAATTCTTTGTCCCAAACAAAAAGACCTCATCATCTTCATTATAGAAAATAGCCGTAGGTAGCTTGTCTAATAATACCATGTAAGAAATGTAGGGTAAAAATTAAATTATAGAAAAAAGAAAAATAGAGACAAGACAAACCTCAGGAGGCACGATATAAGGATTTGTAGTTCGTTTTGCAAGCTTTTGGACATACTTTAAGCCAAATTTCTTTGGTGTCAAGTTCTCTTTCAAAGGTGCTACAACATCTGCATATTGTTTGTCCAAAGCCTCAATAACTGCCTTTTCAATGTCTGCAATCGCCTATTTACCAAAAACCAAATTAAAATTATTATAAATTCGGATTACCACCTTCTTTTATAATTTGTTTTTATCGAAAATCACCGATTTTTGCAAATTAGTATATATTGTTTTTGAGCATTTTCACAAGGTTGAAGATTAAAATATGTAATGAAAAGCCAAGTATGAACACTCAACTAAATGTCAACATCATTTTTGTATAGTTCTATTTAGGGCAAAACACAAGAAATAGCAATGTACTTAATTTATTTGTACTTTCATGTCTTTTTAATATTTATCAAGGCCAATATTGTACATTAAACATCTACCAGTGAAATTTTCATTGTATAATAAAAAGAAATGAAGGTAGGATTCTATGAGAAACTAATAAATGAAAGTATGTTACTATTTCTTGCATTTAACATAGTTTAAAATTGAGGAATCATAATAGTATTAATGACTTACATTCTCCAAAGCAAATGTATACTCAGGCCATCTGCATATAATGACCTCATAATCATTTAAAGTTTCTTTAAGGCGCTCATACATTTCATCCACAAACGGGGTTGTTGAATGTTGACTCCTCACTCCAGAACATTTTACCTATATTTTCAATCATCCGATTAAAACTTTATATAATTTAAGAAATATGTTTAATTCTTTATTTATAATATATATACCTTGTCAAGTTTACATGTCTCAAGCAACGATAATCGCTTATCTTGAATCCAAATGATGATATAAAGATGAAAAAGTTCTTTTGCATCAACTCCACCTTTCACAGGACTGAGAAAGAATTAAATATTAAGTTGTGGAAAGTTGCAAACAACTAGAAATATTATCAAAATAAAAAGAAAAATAAAAAATTACTTGATATTCCAGCTGGCAAGATCCTTTTGGAAATCTGCAGTTGCAATTACAAGCTCTGTAACAGGACGAGAAGGACCTGTTGGAGGACATGCCACAAGGAAGGATCTCAATCTGCTGCAAAGTTCAGCACTGTATATTGCAGATGATAGATTTGGTAGGTCGATGAAACTGCATAATTTTCAAACATTGTAGCATAAATTAGTTGAAAAGTTAAACATTGTTTGTTGCATATATGGGTAAAAAGGTGAAACATTGATGCATAGATTGATAAAAAAAAGTGAACCATTGTTGCATAAATTGGTCAAAAAAAGCAAACCATTGTTGAATAGATTGACAAAAAAATGAACCATTGTTGCATAGATAGGTAAAAAAGTGAAACATTGTTACATAAATTGGTAAAAAGGTAAAACATTGTTGCATAGATAGGTAAAAAAGTGAAACATTGTTACATAAATTGGTAAAAAGGTGAAACATTGTTGCATAGATAGGTAAAAAAGTGAAACATTGATGCATAGATTGGTAAAAAAGTGAAACATTGTTGCATATAGTGTAATAGCAAGTCAAAAAGTATTTTTTTTTAGTAGATAGGTATAAAATAAATGCTTTTTTTTTATGTTGCAACACCACTTCATTGAAACTTTGTTAATTTGTTAATTTTCAACTCCAAAATTTTTTATATTTAGTTAATTTTCAACCATGCAAGACAAATAAAATAACAAATTTTTTTTTACCTTGGAAGAACATTGCTATTATGAATCTCAATATCTGTAAATATCTCATTTCGGATGTTTAAACAAAGGGATTTCATTTTCTGATAAGCTGTAGAAACAGCAACAGGATCCATCATCAAATTTCCTTCACCAGTGCCACTAAGATATTCATCTGTATCACTCAAATGCCTTCTTGATCTTTTCTTTGCAGCAGCCTAATAATAATAATAATAATAATATAATAACAAAAGATATGTCATCAATATCATTCAATCAAATATCTTTTAAACAACATAACACTTAATGAGAATATAAAGAAAGAAACCTGGAAGTAGCTGTATAATTTATTTTGTGCCTCAGGAGATAATATATCATGAAGAAGTTTATATAATTTCACAGAAGGTTCCAGAACAGGTGCAGCAACTCCAGTAGCAGGTTTAAAAACATCCATCATGCCAGATGGAGACAACTCATCTAAAGACTTGTAGTTCTCAAAAACAACTGCAAAAATCTCTTCAATTTGCTCTTCAATCTCACCCAATATTCTATTCTGTAAATTGAAAAACATATATGAAATAATAATTTTATCAAATCTTATATCATAACATGTGAGTTTTGTAATTTCTTTTACCTCTTGATGACTGAGGGTGGTTTTGGTATTCCCCTTCATTATAACAGGCAATAACAAATCGTATACTAATGAAAGACAATCATTTGTTGGAGTAGCAACATCCATTATATAAGATAAGTATCTGAAAAGTCAAGTGGTTAGGGGAGGAGAAAGGGTAAAATGGTAATTTATCAGAGTACATTTCAGTAATCAGTACCTTAGCTTTGTGTAAGCATCTGAAACTCCATAATATGCTGCAAACTCAGTAAGTAACCACTTCCATGGATCATGGAACAAAAGGTTTCTTTGTTGAAAGTTTTGCTCTTTCATGGCAACCTCCATAGCAAGATCATATGCCATTGTTTCAGCAATGGAACCACACTGTTATACAAAAAGATTGTTTGGTCAAAGTCAAACTGCTTTAAATTTTAGTCAACAAAGATGAAAAAAGACTCCAGCAATCAAAAAGTAAGTCAAGAAAACTTTAAAGAATCACACAGTTTCCGATTTCTCTAACTTTCTTATTCTTCAAGTTAAATCTACATCTGCGAATTGTAATCATTGCAAAATATTAATAATATGGGAAATTCACCTTCAGGCTGTTGTCATCTAAACTTGTTGTATAATTAATATAGAGTTGAATTTTTCCAACAAGTTCATGCTCTGGTTCTCGGTATATAGACCACCATCTTAGTTTGTCATTCTGCATTAAAAAGATTCAGCTTCACACTAAAAGGGTAAAATGGTAAAAAAAAAAAAAAAAAAAAAGTCACCTGATCTTCAGAAATAGTGGCGACTTGAGCTAGAACACGACCATAATGGTTTCCCTTGGAATCTTGAACTTCAACAATCAAGTCATCCCCAAGGCTATCTGGTAAACTGTGATTTCATGATTTCATTAATTTCACAAAACCATGTAATAATAATAATAATAAGTAATATAATGAAATTTTTGGATTTAAAAAATACATACAATATATGGGTTTCACCAGATCCAGGTTGCATTCGAATTGTATCCCCTTCTGCTGAACTTTTAAGTCTTAGAAGACATGAGTATGATTCTGTTTAATATCATGAGTATATATCATTAGCAAATACTAATTTCTCCTTAAAACAATCCAAAATGTCAATGACATTCCTAAAACATGATATATTTCTATAGATGAATGAATAATTCAAACATAAACTTAGAAGGATTTTAGGTGTAATTTTATTAAAAGATTGTTATAGACTAAACAAGCATAAGTAACAAAAAGAAAATGAGAGATTGTTAAACATAAGTTAGTTTATTTAATTCAGTCTTGCATGAATCACCATATAAATTTAATTCTTATTCTTTTTCCCATTATAAACATTTGTTGTAAATTAATAAACAACGAATCATTGTTTCCTTTTTACTTAATTGACTTTAATGGGAACAATGTTTTATTGGGTTAGCTATATATGACTGTTTCTTTTTCACTTAATGCAAAAAGAACGACTTAGTAGAAAAGGTCACGAAAACAAAACTTTCCTCATTAACTCTTAAGTTTTTACAGTTTTACCCCTCATTTATCTAGACACATTTGAACAAAAACCATTGTCTAACTCTAATCCAACATATTTAGTAGTTACTTATGAAAAACAATCACATAGAAAGTTCACAAACCTTTCATTAAGTCTTATGTTTTTACAATTTTACCCCTCATTTATCTAGACACGTTTGAACAAAAA